GACAGGAATTCAGTATGATATACCCAAAGGACAGGAATTCAGTATGATATACCCAAAGGACAGGAATTCATTATGATACCTGCACTCCCACGTTTACTGCAGCACTATTCATCACAGCCAAGATTTGGAATCAACCTAAGTGTCCATCAGTGGTTGAATGGATAAAGAAATTGTGATACACATGCAATGGGATATCATAGAGCCACAAAAGGAAAGAAATCCTGCCATGTGCAACAACATGGATGGAACTGGAGAAGATTATGTTAAATGAAATAAGCCAAGCACAGAAAGACAAATCCCATGTGTTCTCGCTCATATATGGGAACTAAATATTTTTTAAAAAATTAATCTTATGGAGAAAGAGAGTAGAATGATGGTTATCAGACGTTGGGAAGAGTATCAGGAAGAGAAAGGATAAAGTGTGAATTGTTAATGGGTGCAAAATATAGTTATACAGTTAGACAAAATGAATAATATATGATAGCAAAACAAAGCAACTATGATCAACAGTAAGTTAGACTATACAGAACTGGAAGGTTCTTAACACAAAGAAATGACACCCCAATTACCCTTATAAGGTTAGTCCACATTGACATCACATGTGCCTCCTAAAGGTATACAACTACAGTAGAACCTTCGTAAGTGGACCACCCAAGGGACTGTAACAAAGTGGTCAACATAAGGAACCAGGCCTGCTGTACTAATTATGTACATGAGAGGCACATATCCAGTTTATGAAAATTTGGTGAACTTAAGGAGGTGGTCATCTATGGAGGTTCTACTGTATTAAGTATCTACAATAATTAAAAATAAAAAATAGAAAGGCAGGAAGAACTCTTAGCCAAATTATTACATCCGTGCCATCCCCAAGTTATCAATCGGGATAACTTCTGCATTGCAGAAGAACACCTTGGCTGGATCTTGCACCATGTTTTTCTGGGTAAACAAAGGTACATAATTGGTAGGGCTTCTAGGCTAGCCCATAGAAGCCTCCTTACCCTACAAAAAGCCTATTATCAGCTAGAATGATGTGGCTCTCGTTCATTACTTGCAAGGAGAAAGACAAACAAGGAAAGGAAATCAGAAGTTACTAGGACAGTGGTTCTCAACCTTCCTAATGTCGCAATGTACTTTTCATTATGAAAAGTACACGACCCACAGGTTGAGAACCTCTGTACTAGAAGAAGCATTTGCGCTTGCATTTCTTACTTTCCCAGCATACAGCAATAAGCCTTACATTACACAAGACTGGCTACACTTGGGATGTTTGCTTTCATACCTAGTCTTCTTGTCTTTTTCTCCCCCCAAACACTCACCTGTATTTTCAGTAATTCCACATATTTACGTAATTTCCCAAACACATTTGAACCTGTATACTTCTCAGGACCAAAACTGTACTGCTGAATCCAATTACAACCTTGTGAAAATAGCAGTTTTTCAGGAAGCTTGAAAAGGAAGTAGATGCCAACAATGATTAGTATCTTAACGTCTATGACACACAATTGGAAATATAGCACAGCACATGGTCTTATCTTGTTTAGCAAGCTTCATTAAAAAGACTGCAACAACGGCTAAGTAAAAATCATATAGTCTTTTTTTGATTTGTGGATAATTTTTTTTTTTTTT